AATTCCTTTCTTCTTATACAAGGTGATGATGACTGCATCACGAAGGTCTGATGGTAGTTCGCCTAGTTCCCAACAGCGCACCACAAACTCGTGAAATTTAGCATGGAGTGCTTGGCCCCCATGTTTCCACACTTCGAGTGGAATTCCATCAACCCCAGTTGCCTTGCTGACTTTCACCTGCTGTATGGCCCTGAGGGTTTCTCCTAAAGTGGGGGCAGTATCCAGTTCGTACTTCACTGGTTGTTGTGTGATGGACTGAATAGCTGAGTCTTGAACTACACGGCTGGTACTGAAAAGAGTCTGAAAGTGTTCAGACCATCGATTCAGAAATGGAGGTTTTATCTGTCAGAAGCGTTTGACCATCAGCGCTGAGTAGAGGGCTTTGGACCTGGTATGTAGGCCCGTATGCTGTTTTCAGGGCCTCATAAAATCCTCTGTGATCACCCGTATCTGCACATAATTGAGTTTTTTCAGCTAGATCGGTCCACCACTTGTTCTGGATGTCACGGAGTTTCTGTTGGAGCTTGCTGCATGCAGGACGAAAGGCTTTTTTTCTTGCGTGACAGGATGGCAGTGCAAGGTGTGCTTGGTGAGCGGTTCTCTTCTTCCTCAATTTGGTGGGGGAAAAAACAGTTTTCCCCTTGAAGTTATAAAATGGTAACCCCCCTCGGGGTGGTGACCCTTTGGGGTTAAGCCAATGAGCGCTCCTGCAAAATCTAAACATATCACCCAGACCGGAAAAGGAGGTTGTTGTAGTTGTTGTTGGAGGAGAAGTAGCCATGTTGTGAAAGCCATAAGCTGAATGGGCAGGAGCCACGGCCCCCCAGTCCCTGTCTGTGGATCATAGAAACTCGGAAACAGTGTTAAACTGGACTGAGGTCTGTGACTGAGAAGCCGGGAGTTTTTCTCCACTGGGAGTGGATAGCAGGAGCAGCGGTGGCAGAAGCAGCAGCATACGGAGGGCAGAGAGCCAAGAGATAAGAGAGAAGCAGCAAAGCCGGCATGCAGCCAAGGAAGACACAGAGATCTCTCATGGAGAGAGAGAGAGCAGGACTAAGCCCTGCAGAGACAGAGTTTGGGGTAAGAACTGAAAACCAAAACCCCCAAATTCCTTTTGAGACCCCTCCTAGGAGGAGGGAGATGGACTCTTACTTAAGAAGAGTCTTAGAGTGCTACAGCACCGAAAAGAGAGGAGCTGAAAAGCTCAAGGCTTCCCGGAGCTGGACTGGGAAGGCCAGAAGAATGCAGAGGAGGGCTTCGCCCCCCGCTGCTCTGAGACAGGGCACGGGAGCTCTGCAAAGGGGGCTTGAATCCCCTGAACATGGGGACCGTCAGGAAGGCTTCTATACTTTGTGATATGAAGTGGTGAACTGACCTTTGTCCCGGTGAACACAGCCCACGGAAGAGAAAGACCCTCGCTTGGAGTCGAAGGGCTGAGAGGGGCTTGGAGGCCTCCCTCGTGTGAGCTGGCAGAGATCCAGCTACAGCTGCTGCATGGAAGGAGAGGGACTGCTGCCCTAGAGACACTGCTGCTCTGAAAGTGGAAAGGATCTCTTCCTTCTTCCCTCCTGGACTTTTATTTGGAGGGAGAAGAGATTTGATCCATTGTAAATACTGCTTTATCATGGTAGAGATAGTTGAGATTGTATATGATGTAATATGTATATGTATATGTAATATTTATTTGTACAGTGCATTGTAATATATACCTTCCCCCCATTTTGAGTCTTGTGTGGTGTCTGGAAAACCCATCTGACACTGGGTTGAGATGTGGGAAGGGGGCTTGGACTCAGGAATTGGATTTTGGGGCTCTCAAACCGTTACACTCAACAATTCCTGGATCTCTTGATTGTTTTCATCAAACCAGTCCTTGTTCTTCTTGAAGGAGAACCCTAAGGATTCTTCAGAGGATTGCAGGATGCTGCTTTTAATATGGTGCCAAAGTGTTTCAGGAGAGAAGTCTGTAGAATCTATGGAATGGTTTTCGAACCTAGTTTGAAGGTTTGCCTGGAATCTGTCTCTTACTGTGGCTGATTGGAGATCGTTAACTTGGAGTCTGCTCCTTGGGATACTGCCCCTTTCATGTTTGAATTTAAGATTGAAGTTGAGTTTACAGCGCACAAGTCTATGGTCTGTTTGGCATTCTGCACTAGGCATCACGCAGATATGATGGAGATCGCGGATATCTCTCCGTCGCACCAAGACATAATCAATGAGGTGCCAATGCTTAGATCTGGGGTGCATCCATGTTGTCTTCAGACTATTTTTCTGTTGAAAGATAGTGTTAGTGATGGTGAGCTGTTGCTCCGCACAGAATTCTAGCAGAAATTGACCATTATCGTTGCAGTTTCCAACACCATGCTTCCCTAATATTCCCTTCCAGGCTTCAAATTTCTTGCCTACTCTGGCATTGAAATCGCCAAGGAAAATGATCTTCTGCAGGCACCTTTTGGGTAAGGTGGCGCAGGTCAGTGTAAAATTTATCTTTTTCAGCAGGGTCGGCTTGGAGAGTTGGGGCATATATACTAAAGAGGACAACATGTTGCTTGTTGTTAAGTGGAAGGCGTAGGGAGATAATGCGGTCAGAGTGACCTGTCGGCAGATTTTCGAGTTTAGGAACGATAGAGTTTTTGATCATGAACCCAACTCCTGAGAGATGTTTTTCGGTTCTGGGCTTACCTGACCAAAAGAGTGTGTAACCGGCACCATGTTCTCTGAGGCTGCCTTCCTTGTGAAGACAGACTTCACTGAGAGCAGCAATGTCGATGTTGAGATGAGCCAGTTCATGGGCAATTAGAGCAGAAGGACGCTCAGGACATCCGCTATTCGCAGAATCGAGCATGGTTCTGATATTCCAACATGCTAGAGTTAATTTAGGTACACCTTTGGAGGTAGGTGTATGCCTTTGTCTTTTGATCTTTGTGTGACTGCATTGGAACTATTTCCATATTAATTACAAAAATAGCATCTTTTCCCCCTTAGATGAACAAAGAAGAAAAAAATCCAGTAAAACAAAATAAATGAACAATACATTGTTACCAATACATTGTTTGGTAGTCTTTGACTACCAAATCAACAAAACTCAGAAAACTAATCCCTCTCGTTTCAGTCCTGTAGCATCCCAACCAATGGATAAGCAAAAAGGTCAGAATGACATCACCTCTATACACAGCTTTTATTTACAGCACTGGCACTAGCTGGTGCCCTTCACAACCGACCTCCCAAGTCAATGACACTCCAAGGGAAGCTAACTGAAAGGGCTGCATTACAGTTGTCACAATCACCAACACAACAGCTTCTGTTCTCCTCATCTGTTAGGACTGCTGAATCATAGAATATCCTGAGTTGGAAGGGACTCACAAGGATCACCAAGGCCAACTCCTGGCCCTACACAGGATCATCCCCAAGAATCACATCATGTGTCTTAGAGTATCATCCAAATACTTCTTGAGCTCAATCAGGCTTTGTCCTGTGACCACTTATCTGGGGAGCCTGTTCCAGTGTCCAACCATCCTCTGGGTGAAGAACCTTTTCCTAATACACAAACTAAGCTCCTCTTGACACAACTTCAGGCCATTCCCTCGGGTCCTATTGCTGGTCACCACAGAAGAGATAAGTGCCTGCCCCTCTGTTTCTCCTCATGAGGAAGTTGTAGACTACAATGAGGTTTCCCTTCACTCTCCTCTCCTCCAGGCTGAACAGACCAAGTGACCTCAGCTGCTCCTCATACGGCTTCCCCTCAAGGCCCTTCACCATCTCGTTGCCCTCCTCTGGACACTCCCTAACAGCTTAACATCTTTCTTATATTGTGGTGCCCAAAACTGCACACAATGTTCAAGGTGAGGCCACACCAGTGCAGAGCAGAGCAGGACAATCCCCTCCCTCAACCAGCTGGTGATGCTTTGCCTGATGCCCCCCAGGATACAGTTGGCCCTCCTGGCTGCCAGGGCACTGCTGACTCATATTCAACTTGCTGTCAACCAGGACCCCTGGATTTTCTGTGTGGCTGCTCTCCAGCCTTTCATTCCCCCATTTGTATGTATATCCAGGGTTCCTCCCATCCTGCTGACAAAACTCTTCTTTCCTGGCTGCCACTTTACCAAGGTTCCAGTTATATTTTCCAGCCTCTCTCCACTTCCATGAGGTTGATGTAAATGCATCACAACATCAATTTCAGATTTCTTATGAATTACAGTTTCAGCTTCTGAAATTGATCTGAAACCACAGAGTGCAATCTGATGCAGATGCACACTTCAGGTTCGGAAGCTGCCACAGCAGGCAACCTATGCTTCTTAAAAGCGCATTACTGCACACATATTCCTATAAACATCTTAGACAAGTATTTTGTCTTTCAGATAGGGACAGAGTAGAAATACAGGAATCATACATTACTGGTTTGTAGGGGCGTGTCTGAGGTACAAAGGGATGTACCAGGGCAGAGATGGCCAGAGAGCATGCGCCGAGGGAACAACCCTCATTGGATAAAGGGATCACATGGTTATGGGATATAAAAGGGAGTGGGAGTTTCGAATAAACTCTCTTTGTTCACCATCTCACAGGGAGCGTACTGATTTCTTTATTATATAAAGGCAGCGTGCCACATGGCACGCTACACTGGTTTATCAAAATGATGTGTGTACATGCACCAAACACATCACACATCACACCTATAGCCACAAGGATGTGACAACACACTGAAACTTCAGCCACTGCTATAATACAAAATAAAAGTTTATTTAATAATAAACAATATTTTATTTTAAATTGTCATATTTATATACTTACATATTTCATATATCTACATATTATATGCAATATAATACATTCTATTATATCTAATATATCTTGGATATAAATATAAAAAATACAGAGCATATAATATAGATTATATAGGCTATACAGATAATATACATTATTTAGTACATAAAATAAACTATATAATAATATATAATGTATCTACTGTATATCATCATATTTATAATGCATATATGTTTTCTATATATTCATTTAAATATGAATTTATTTAATAATAAAAAGAGAAACACTACCACTCTTGTCAGGCAGAAGGTGCATCAGGTATATTTTTTTGTACTTGTCAGGATGGCAAATCTTTCCAAAGCATGGGCACATTACAACCAGTCAGAGCTCTTCTGGACTGAAATCCAAGTGTAGGTTAGCCCATTAGGCAAAATGAGGGAATGACCAATTAAAATTTGCAGAAAAAGTTTCATCTAAAATCATAGGAATGCTTAGGTAAAAGATCAACTGTTTGAAGAACTCAGAAGAATTTAATTAATACTTTATCAGAAGGTTATAATCTCTGAATCACCTGCAAATTTCTCCTTAAGATACAACAGTAAACTATTTTCTCATTTTAGGAAATAAAAATGTCATGTCAATAACAAGTTTTTTTAACTGGTCTGTTGAAACATAATACAAACCTGTTCTAGTGTTTCTATTTTGCTGTCTTTGGCTTCTAAAGTTCTAAAACTCTTCTGTCCTTGAGTTCAGCTTTCTGTTTTTCTCTGGAAACAAACAAAAAAACCCAGACACTTTAATAGTCATAATTTGCAGTTAATCATTTGAATTTTTCATGTCCTGATAATGAATGTCATTTTAAAGCACAGAAAATTAAATTATCTGAAGCTGACAGGCCTCGCAGAATTAATCAGGGAGCATATGGCAAGCGACAGCAAATTACATCTGAAAACAGCTAACACAACATTGTTCATAAAGAAATAGAAGCAAGAGGTATTAAAATACATTTTTAAGCAGTTGACATTATCTGTCTCATTCTTTCCCAAAAGCAGAAAGTGTACAATGGACACAGAATGAGCAATATGCTTTCTTCTCTTTTTGGCAATGTAGAGTCACAAAACTGCTTGCATTTGTTAAATCTTTCTCTCAGTTAAAAAGCATTTCTCTGAAACAACACTTTTGAACATCATTGATCATTACAATCTTTCACATGGACAGAATCCATAACTTTCACACAGATAAAAAAAAAAGACAGCACAGAAGCTTGGGTAACGGGGATGAGCAGAGCCACTCTTACATGGTTATTAAGTGCAGAGCTATTATCCTCTCTGGAACACTTTGTAGGATGTCAGTTGATAAGTCATTAACACTTTATTTACAAACTACCTCATCTCAGGGTTATCCTACTTCTTAACTGAGTTTTAAACCTTGATGCCCTTACTGGCTTCTGCTTTAGGCAGAAAGAAAATAAATGTTGCAACAGTAAGGATATTCAAAGATTCCTTGGCATAAGCCAAAGTTCTTATCATATACCTGCAACTCTAATGGCCAGTCTTCGCGAACGAAGATTTGGGGAAAGGTCTTTTTACCTTTCCAGCCTGCGCAATGGATTTTTTAGGTGAGACACAGCTTGCGCTGAACTGAGCCCACCCTTTAATCCTAAGGTTCATCTGCCGGGGCCAAGCAAGCTTGGACAATGGCAGTGAGGTCCTCAGGACGTAGGTTTGTTTAGAGTGACCTTCTCATAGATGGATGGCCTCACAGGGCTAACGGGCTCCATCTGCCCGGGGGACCGGGGATTCGAACCTGGGTCGCAGCAGTGAGAGTCCTGCATGCTAACCACTAGGCCACCCTGCAACTAAAGGTCTGAGAAACATACATTCCCTACAAATGGCCAAATAATTCAGGTAATTCCAGCACCAATGTGACAGAAGCAGAAACTCATTCAGATTATTTGTCTTCTCACAGTACAGGTAAACTTTCATCATATTAGCCATCTACAGAAGCCATAAAATCCTACTTGTGCAACTTTTGCTCTTCTAAAATGGTAATGTTTCAGAGCTGGAAGGGAATGAAACAGTGCTACATGAGTGTTTAAATGTGATCTAAGGTGGATGAAAATATCCAGCTGTACACAAAAGGTTTAATAGCTAAAGCATTTTATGACAGTGACCAATAAGGATAGCAGATATGTGGAGAACTGTTCTTCTCCATTATTACTACTGTGTAGTCTACTGTTAGCGGTGATTTTAAAGACTAAACTGCACTGTCATCACAGACCACCCAATAACATGGTTTCTTTTCATAAAGTTTTATGACTGCTAAAATACCTAGTCTGGTATGGAATTTCAAGTGAAGTTTTTGGAAACTTAGGTCTCAGGGCAAGGACTTCAAGCAGCACTCTCCTATTACAAATCTAAAACAACTTGTGGTGGGGGAAAAAGTTCCCCCCCTGAAGTTATAAAACTCCCGAGGGGGTGGTGTCTCCCTTGGGGTTGAGCCAACCAGTGCTCCTGCAAAATGTAAACATATCACCCAGACCGGAAAAGAAGGTAGTTGTAGTTGCTGTTGGAGAAGGGTGGCCATGTTCTAAGCCATGAGGAAGAGGCCTGGAGCCCCGTTGGGGGCTATGGCCCCCCCAGTCCCAGGTGGGGGGCTACAGGGACTTGGAACAGTGTTAGACTGGGCTAAGTATCTGTACCTGAGAAGCTGGGAGGTTTTCTCCACCGTGAGCAGCAGCAGGAGCAGCAGCAGAAACAGCACTGACCGGAGGCTATGGCAGAGAGCCAGAAGAGATAAGAACAAGCAGCAAAGAGAGGCATGCAGCAACACAGAGAGAACTCCTGCAAGGAGAGAGAGAAAGAGAAAGAGAGCCGCCACAGAGCAGAACTAATCTCTATGGACAGAGTTGTGGGGTAAGAACTGAAAACCAAACCCCCCAAACTCCTTTTGAGATCCCTCCTAAGTGGAGGGGGTGGACTCCTACTGGATGGAAGTCGTAAAATGCAGCATGCACTGCAGAGAGAGGAGCTGAGAAGCTCAGGCATCCTGGAGCTGGACCAGGATGGCCAGAATGGAATGTGGAGGAGGGCTTCGCCCCTCCCCCCCTACTGCTACTAAGTTAGCAGCCTGAGATCAGAGCACGGGAGCTCTGCAAGGGAGCTTGAATCCCTCGAGGATAGGGACCGTCACGAAGACTCCTGCACTTCGTGATATGACATGGTAAACTGACCTTTGTCCCGGTGAACACAGCCCACGGAAGAGAAAGACCCTTGTTTGGAGTCGAAGGGCTGAGAGGGGCTTGGAGATCCCCCTCATGTGTACTGGCAGAGATCCAGCTACAGCTGCTGCATGGAAGGAGAGAGACTGCTGCCCTAGAGACACTGCTGCTCTGAGAGTGGAAAGGATCTCTTCCTTCTTCCCTCCTGGACTTTTATTTGGAGGGAGAAGAGATTTGATCCATTGTAAATACTGATTTATCATAGAAAAGATAGTTATGATTATATATGATGTATTTTAATATTTATTTGTACAGTCATGCCTTAAGCCCATAATGATTTTTAATTTTTCTACCTTATAAGTTT